ATTTGTTTAAGTTTACTTTTGCGTTTGTGTCTACATGAACCTTGGTTTGTATAACTGGACTGTATCGGACTGTTTGAGACCATTAGGCTTATGATTGCTCGTCTATTAGTAGCCTTAGTATAAAATAGTCTCTTGTTTTAATTTGATTCTTTTGTAGGAGAGTGTTATGAGCTGAAAACTGATTCTGAAGTCATTAGAATGTTAGTGGTAGTGTTAGTAAATTCAGCCTTGTTATCATATTCAATAAAAATCAAATTGATCGCAAGCGGTTGATTGGAAATTGGATTTAATATGGACTACATGTTCCTATTGATGTAAGATTAGGTGTTTTAGGTTTCAGTTGCATTAGACAGCTCAGTTCTTCATTTACAGGTTTAAGTCACATACGAAGATTCATAGAATGTGCTGATTGAAACTAATTTGGTTTTATGTTTGAGATTCTAAACTCAATACGTTGTGGCTGATTATATGAGTTGACTATTCATGTGGTGACTAAGTTCAAGGTTATTCGATTAGAATCAATATTTGGAATTAAAATCAGCCTTCCATTTAAATAGTTGTGGATTAAAATCAGTAATTGGAAATCCACATAGAAATCAATATTTGCTTATGAGCCCATGTATGCCAAACCTGGCAGCTCCTCGCCTAAATAAGATTTGGGCCCAAGAATTTGTATGACAAGGGCCCAACGCAGGGCAGCCTTTCATGAAGCTGACGTATTCCTGGGCTAACCTTCCCGGCCCAAAAATGCTGAAGGTTGGGATTTATATTAAGATTACGGGATTAAATTCATAACCTAGGTTTTGGGCCTCCTAGTTAAGTAGCATGCTTGAGTTAAGAGGTTTGCCTCTTGTTCAAGTGTGGACTTGAACTTGAAGCCCAAATTCCTTGATCACTTTAAATAATAGCAATTGATAATATTAATTAATTAGGGCCCTTAGAGACAAATTCAATAGAAAATCATAGTTTGCTCTAGGATGTCCTTTAAATAATAAAATGAGGTGCGCTATGCCAAACGAAACCCATAAATTGCGTAGCTCTCTTTAAGTTCTTATATTAAAATACTTAGAATTCGGGACGTGCCGTTTAGTGAATTTCATGGCCTCCCGCAAAGATAATACACGTTAGTCGCTGTAGGCGCGCTTTTAATAATTTTATCTTCCTAAATAAGGGTGTGCATTTCATGTTACCCAAATCCAAATCCCAAAACGTTTAATAAAAATGTGTCGAGGATACAGGTGCATTTCATGTGACGTGATCCAAAAACACGTTTTTAAACGACGTTCACTTTCTTAAAAATTTGTTAACTAAAAGGGGTTAAATAATTTTTAAAATTGCACTATAGGATGACATGTATTAAAATCAGACTTTAGCCAAATATAGCAGTTGAGCGACCGTGCTAGAACCACGGAACTCGGGAGTGCCTAACCCCTTCTCCCGGGTTAACAGAATTCCTTACCCGGATTTCTGGTTCGCGACTGTTAAACAGAGTCAAACCCTTTCCTCGATTCGGGATTCGAACCGGTGACTTGGGACACCATAAATCTCCCAAGTGGCGACTCTGAACCTCTTAATAAACGAATCCCGTTTTGATTGTCCTTTAATTGGAAAAACTCCTTTATTATACCCTTCGCGGGGGTGTAGTAGCGAAAAGGAGGTGTGACAGTTCTCATAACCAATGGTTTAGCTATAATTGGAGGCACACAATCTCTGCTAAACCAACATTATTTAGATAAATTAATATTCTGGACTCTGCTCTAATAATTTGAACAATCAATCTTGCAAAATCCAAACTGCAAGTTGATAACAAACGCACGTGTGACGAGTCAGAAACTTTTCTAATGTTTTTTGGACAAAAAATACGTTTTTACTACTAAAAAAAAAGTTACCTAAATACCTAATTCGCAGTACTACACTGCGAATTAACTTAACGGAAATTTTGCCGTTAAAGTAATTCGCAGTAGAGTACTGCGAATTAGTAAAAAAAAAAAAATATTTATCTAGTGCGCAGTATAATACTGCGAATTGAGACACTCCGATTTAAGGGCCCAGCAATTCGCAGTACTATACTGCGTATAAGCAATTCACAGTATAGTACTGCGAATTGCCCTTAATAAAATAAACCCTTCTTCTTCTTCCCCAACACAATTCGCTGCCCCCCACTAAAAAACAAACTTGTTTCTCTGCTGGTACCCCCCCCCCCTCGTCAAATTAGAAAAAAAATAATTTTTGGGCCCTACCCGTCTTCTAAAAAACAAAGAGTGTAGGTCCCACACACAAGACAAGCTTTGGATTCCTTCTTTCGGGTGCAAAAATTCGATTTCAATCAAATTCAAAAAACTTAAATCGAGGTATTTCGATTTTGTTTATGTCGACACTCGTATAGTACATGCATATTTGTATTGTTTAATGTGTTTCCATGTTAATTTGTATTATGTTTGTATTTAAATTTGTATCTTATTTATACCCGTTTGATTTATTAGCTTTGGGACAAAAAAATATTAAAATTTGATAAATAATTTGTATTGTTAATGTTATGTTTTTATTTGGTTAAATAATAAATAAATATTATTTATTTAGTTTGTTGTTCATATTTGTATGTTATGTTGTTGTTTTTATATGTAATAGTGACCTTTTAGCGTAGTAAGATAAAGAGCCTTTTAGTGTAGTAAAATATATAGCCTTGTAGCGTAGTAAAATATAGAGCCTTTTAGCTTAGTTAAATATAGAGCCTTTTAGCGTAGAGTGCAAAATATAGAGCCTTTTAGCTTAGTAAAATATAAAGCCTTAAGTATGTAGTAACTGCAAACTCTATCCAATAACACTTCACAAAATTAATTATTTAATTTATAAAATAAACTTACAAAAGTAAATAATTAATATATGTTGTCAAATAACTCAAATATCGAGCCCGGAACTCATAGATAATTACTCAGTCCAATTCAATAATTAATTATTCAATTTATTAAATTAACAAAATTATAAAAATGCTGAAATTGACACGCATAATAATTAAGGATAAGTTGGTGCTACCGGGGGTCAATTATCGAGCCTGGAAACGCATACATAATTATTCAGTCCAATTCAATAATTTTTAATTTAATTCTTTAATCTAACAAAATTCCGTCGGTAACTGAAATTCACACGCATAATAATTAAGGATAACTTGGTGCGACCGGGCCTCAAATATCGAGCTTGTAAGGCCATACATAATTATTAAGTCCAATTCAAGAATTTTTAATTTAATTTATTAAACAAATACATTTCTAAAATATTTTGAAATAACACACATAATAATTAAGTATAGCTTGGTGCTACCGGGCCTCAAATATCGAGACTGGAAGCCATTCATAATTATTAAGTCCAATTCAAAAAAATTTAACTTAATTTGTTAAACTAACAAATTTCTAAAAAATATTGAAAATGAGACACATAATAATTATGTAAAGCTTGGTGCTACCGTGCCTCAAATATCGAGCTTGGAAGGCCATACATAATTATTAAGTCCAATTCAAGAATTTTTAATTTAATTTATTAAAAAAATACATTTCTAAAAAATATTTGAAATGACACACATAATAATTAAGTATAGCTTGGTGCTACCGGGCCTCAAATATCGAGCCTGGAAGCCATTCATAATTATTTAGTCCAATTCAAGAATTTTTAATTTAATTAATTAAACTAACAAATTTCTAAAAAATATTGAAAATGACACACATAATAATTAAGTATAGCTTGGTGCTACCGGGCCTCAAAAATATCGAGCCTGGAAGGGCATACATAATTATTAAGTCCAATTCAAGAATTTTTAATTTAATTTATTAAACAAACAAATTTCTAAAAAATATTGAAAATGACACATATAATAATTAAGGATAGCTTGGTGCTACCGGTCCTCAAATATCGAGCCTCGAACCAATAGATAATTACTTAGTCCAATATTAAAAATAATTATTTAATTTATTAAACTAACACACACAATTAATTTTATTTAAATTATAGTAGACGACATGGCCTTTCCTCCGCCTGCGCATCCTGGACCTGCCGAGGATCAGCTATTAGTGTTGCAGGGCGACCATAGGTCCTCCTATGTATGGGAGGGACAGCTATCGGAGCAGGCTCTCCGCCCTAGGAGACCTGATGATTTGTGGGAGTTCATCGTAGAGCATCCTTTCCATGCCCGCGTAGTCGCGCGCTTACAGGCTACGGGCTTCTATACTATTTTTGAGCTTGGACGGATGCAGCTTGATTGGTCTCTTATCACGGCGTTGGTAGAGCGGTGGCGATCGAAGACGCACACTTTTCACTTGCCCACTGGAGAGGCCACCATCACGCTGGAGGATGCTCAGGTTTTATACGGGCTACGCGTAAATGGACGGGCTGTGGCACTGCCCCAGTACATTAGATCCATGACGCATGCCCAGTTTTTGATATGATGGGGTTGTTTACCGGTTATAGACCTCAGGGTGGCGCTGGGGGCAGTCGCGTTCTTTTGTCAGCCATTAGAGATCATATGGCTTTTTTGCACCCTGACATTACCGGCGAGACGGAGGATCTCCACACTACACGCGGTTGGCGCTGCTCCTGCTTTTCAGGTGTGTCTTGTTGTCATAATCACTATCATCTTCCTGACTCTGCGCATCAGCCAAATTACGAGTCAATACGTAGTCTATGGGCAACTGTGTGAGGTCAGGAACATCAAGAAGCTCGTTTTCACTGCACAAACAGAACAAAATGATAAGTTACCCGACTATATAAATACATTTGATATAGCTATATCAATTTACTTACAAGTCGCACTATCTTGACGTTTTATGATGGATATTTTCTTGTTGGTGTGACTCCTGGATGGACCACCGTGCTCCAATACTCCAGAACTACGCATATTCCAACTAGGAACGGGGTCATAACTTGTAAAATTCATATCCGGACGGTACCCCCTGTGAAAAATATAAGTGTTAATACAAATCCAATTAAAACATAAAATAAACATCGCTAAAGCGTAGTAAAATTGAAGTTTACCAGTCGTCTTGTGGATTATATAAAGTCGAAAAATTATTTTGTGGCTGCTCATTCGCTGGTGGTGACAAGTTTAAATCAAGGCAAGCTCTTTAATCAGTAATCTGTCCGGCAAAAATTGCTTCAGAATAACCACCCGATGACTGGGGGTTATCCCTACTATGCACGCCCTCATTATTGGGAACGTCTTCCACCTTGACGTACATTTCCAATAATTTTATTACAAGAAATTCCCTGTATTCATCCGGAATCCGCAAAAAATCTCTAAGAGTTTCATCATCCTCGATGTTAAACTCAGAATAATAAGCAAACCCCTACTGAATACGCACCTACCGGTTACTTTAAGGTTAACCGAACGCTTCCTCACACTCATTTTTTTACATAACAACGAAACCAATTTATCATACTCCATAGTAAGCGGCAATTTAACATGACACTGTGGAGGTGAGCTATACCTCACAGAGTTATTCTCCATCACAACCTCACCCCCCTAATATAATGAAACCCTTATTTTTGGCTCTTCAGACATTGTACAAAAATAATTGATAAGAAGAAGAGAGAAGTATGAACGGAAGTTAAAAGTTTGTATTGAATGAATTTTCATAAAACTGAAATGCCTTTAAATAAGGCAAGTCCGAGCTGGGGTGCAGAATTTTTTTAAGAAATTCGCAGTACAATAATACGTTTTATGTGTTTGAATTATTGTTATGTCAGTTAATTATTGGTGGGGCCAACTCAGTAATTCGCAGTACAATACTGCGATTTAGCAAAAAAAAAAATATTTTTTTAATAATACGTAGTACAATACTGCGAATCACTATTTTTTTAACTGATTCGCAGTACTTTACTGCGAATTACTTTAACGGCTAAAATTCCGTTAAAGTAATTCACAGTATAGTACTGCGAATTATGTATTTAAGTAACTTTTTTTAGTAGTAAAAACGTGTTTTTTGTCCAAAAAAATATTAGAAAAGTTTCGGACACCACATGTGACCATACAATAGATGCATCTATTAAAATTATATAATAGTAAACGGTTCACATGGCAGGTGACTGGGCCCATATATATATCACCTTCTATTCGTTCCAGAAATCAAGGGATTCAATCCCAACCTTAACTGGTACTTCATGAGAATAAGCAGCACAAGAGAATTCTTGAAGAATCTTCTATTTTATCAATATATGCCAATGTGAATTCTCAATTATTTTTCGCATCATAATTGAACCGGGATGACCCACCGGTCATGCTAATATTTGTTACAGTAAACCTCTAGTTTAATTGTGGCATGTGATACCATCATCATGCTTATACATTTGTAGTACAAATAGAAGAAAAGTCGGGTAACTTTTCATATTTACCCGGTATGTTATAGTAATATGAAGATAATCAATCTTCTTTTCATTTATAGCCTCAATATGCCAACCACTTTGGCCAATACATTTGAAACTTAAAAAGTTTCTTTTGAGACTTACTACAATATTAATGTCAAGAACAATTTCATTCATCCGGATAGTAAAAAAGTAGTTCTTCCGGAGCTCTAAGATCTTTTGTCACACCATCCATATGGTGAATGTTTCCTTCACGGAGAAAATCATATCATAATAATTGTCATGGTCAAAATCATTATAAGCAAAATTATTTCTTGCTTTGCTTTTGCCTTTAATGACTTTTTATAAGGCATGACAAAATATCTTTTGCGTACCATGTACGTGACCACCGACATATTCATGTAACCGTACAGTAATATTCATTATCTTTCTTTCTCTCAAACCTCCCGTAGAGGTGAGTTGTGGTATTTATTCAACCATGCATAAATGCATTCTTATGCATAATTTGTATCACATATATATTTTCACATTCACTTTCAGGAATGAGCATGCATTTACAAATGCTTATCACAAGTCACATTTTCAATGAATGGACTATAATCATGTGAACGTATCTCGTATTAACAGCCCACATTGATACATATTCCTTTACCTTTGAAGGACCATTTTGAGAACCCTTATTGTTCTCCTTTTTATAATTACCATAATGATGATTGTTATTATTTGATCTTTGGCACGCCCACGTTCATTAGTCAATCACTTGTCTTTATTTAGACTTATTATGCACCGCTATCACATTCACTTCAAGAATGGAGCAAATCAAGTGGAACAAACTTCATGCATTTTCATGAAAAATACATTATTTTTCTTTAGTCATCATTATATCATCAATATGGTGCATTGCGACTCAAATCAATGCCTTACCTATATAAAGGCATGTTAGGCCATAATGAGTTGGGACTCAAACCCAATTCTTATCATCATGGTGCACCAGGACTCGAACCCGATGTCTTACCCTCATGTCACTATGGGACTGGAACCCACCGTCTTACCCTCAAACAATGGCATAATAAGCCAAAGTACACTGAGACTCACCCTCGAGCCATAATCATTTTTTTTTGTTTGTGAAAATCAGATTTTCTAATTTTAATGCCCGCATCACTATATACTTTCCATTAATTTCCAAAAAGTGACTACCTACAGACACGTATAATATAGGCAAATCAAAAGATTGAAATGGTTCTTCTTGATTCAACCAACTCATTTTCCTGCACAAATAATATTGTATTTTGTGTAATATAAACGATACCAAATCTTAAATCTCAAATATTAAAATGAGAATTATAGGAAGAATGAAAAAAATACACTCCCTGGACAATTGAAGCAAATTTATTAAACACACGGACGTATCGCAACAAATTAAATCCAGTTTCGAATCTGCCAATTCAAACATGCATCTCAATTCTATCTTCTTTAATAGAAATTCCAGTTAGATTTTTATAACTTCACGTTTTAATTTTTGTGGAATGATATATGAAGACCATGCAACAATTTCGTTGCAGCGCATCAACTCGTGAAATTAAGGTGAAGAAGACCGAAACTCTTTACTTGGAGATGATAGAAATTTGGCTAGAGTTTTCGTGATGATAACGTTTAAGAAACTTAGCTCAAAGTAATAATATGAAACAAGCAAATAGACAAGAATGTAGAGATAAAGAGAGGAGAGATTCTTATTTCTTCTATGTATTCCAAGTGTATACAATGTGGTGCCAAAACCCTCTATTTATAGGATTACATAGAGGTATACAAAAGAATGCCATAAACATGGCATTAAATATTTGAGATCATGGAGAAAGATCATTGGGGGGGGGGGGGGGAGGAAGTGTTATGGAGGTATGAGAGTTACAGCCATAACTCCATAAGTATTGGAGTAGTGGAAGTTATGGAGATAATGAAGAAGAGTAGTGAATATTACTCTATTAGGAGTTATGGACATCCACTACTAGATAATTATTTATAACAAAACAAAAGTACAAGAAAAATGAAGAACAAAGAAGGAGATCAGCAAAAACGAAATAGAAAGAACAAAATGAAAATTTGGGGGGGGGGGGCGGGGGGGGGAGGGGTATGCAAACGTAGATTTGTTTT